TGTTTTCGGAAGTGGCTGGCTTCTTGCCCGGGCACGCAGCCGTGGTCTGGGCACATTGCTCAGCACGCCTGTGGGGCTGAGCTGGCGGTGCCGGTGCTGCCGGGCTGTGCCTGTGCCGAGCACTTCTTGCGGTTGACCACGGAGGGCTTTCGTGGGCAGCCTCTGCGCACCTGTATCCTGCCTGCTCGCGGGGGGGTGTCGGTGGCTTGTGAGCTGTCTGGGCTATGCTAGCCCCCCCTGGAGCAGATTTGGAGGTTGCGTGCATGGGACACCTCGGTAGGTGAGCTCTGCCCGTGCTCTGTGGGTCATTCCCACCCAGGAGAGCTTGACAAAGCCACGTGCTGGACCCTGTGCCCCCTGATGCCACCCTGCCCGAGCCCCAGCAGGATTCGCTCCATCAAATGGTCAGGGGAAAAAAATGCCATCCTGGCAGTCACCCAGGGATGTCATGGAGCAGGGACAAAGCCCAGGGGAGGCGTGGGTGGCATTGGAAGGGCTGTGTTGGACACTGGCCCATGCCAAGCATCACTCTGGGTCCTCCTCGGCTCTGCTGAGGGGCAAAACCCCAAATTACCGGGGCTTCTGCCAAGGGGTGGTGCCAAGCTGGGCTGCACGTGGTTGACGGGGGGTGAGCAGTCCAGGGCTCGTGGCTGCTGGGCTCGGGAGCTGCATCCTTCCCTCTCATGAGCGCTCCGGGGCTTTGCTTCCTGGCTGGCAGCAGGGTAGAGGTACAAACCAGGTGCAGCCAGCCGGTTTGTTGGCCTCCTGGTGCCATCTGCTGTTGCTTCCCCCAGGCGGAGCTCCTGCAGGCAGAGCCGCGCTGGGCTGACCAGTGCAGCCTGCTCCTCTGGAGATAACAGCGGGGAAATGCCCTTTCCTCCCCCAAAATGGGCCCTGGCCGCTCCTTGTAACAGGCTTCCTGATTGGGAACAGCGATGCAATGCGGGCAGGCACTGGCTTATCCTGCCTGCTGCAGGCTCAACCCTGCCCTGCCCTGCCTGTGCCGGCATCCAGAGCTCCGCCAGCTTGTCCCAGGAGCACTTGGCCGTGTGCTG